AATCCTTTTCTGTTCATCAGCTTTCATTAATTGTTGTGCATTTACTCTGTGGAACAAGACAATCCTTTGTCTAATGTGGCTCAGAGAAGCAAATGGTTGAATGCTACTGTTTGCTTACATTATATTGTTGCAGATCTCTTGGTTGTGTCCTTGTGGCCCCTATTAAAACCTTAGTTTAGCCCCAGCTGGTCTAGCACTCACTATGTAGACCAGGCTGACCTCAATCTCATTGAGATCCACCTGCCTCTTCCTCTGAGTGCTGGAATTAAAGGCGTGCACCAACATATCCATCAAAAGCAAAACTTCTTTAAAGGAAACCACAAACCTTATTTTCCTACCAATTAACTGGATTATGCTAAGTCAGGAATAAAGTATCACAAAATACAATATTTTTAAATCTACAAATCTCTCCTTTTCTGAGCAGTTCAGTCCAGTAGGTAAGGTAGAACTCTTGGCCTTAAAATGGATGCTGAGTCAGGTTGTTTCCTTATTAAGGCATAACTGTAACATGGTATAACTAGCACATCTTCTATTTCATTTTTACTCATAAGTTGCTGTCTCAGGAAAGTCTTTACAATTACATTGTAATTACTTTCCCTGATTCTTTATTTAACACTTAGCGATATATAGGCCATGTATTTTAACTTACTGATATTCCTTATGGTTTATTTTCCCCAAGATAAAACTAGGCATATTTTTCCTGGGTTCATTGTTGTTATCCTCAACACTTACACAAGTGCTTTCCTTATAGAGTGAGCATTCAATATTTATTGAAGAAGTGACACATATGAAATCTATTTTTACCAAGATCATGGTAGCTGGTTAAGAAATTAATTTCACAGGAAATGAGAAGCAATTGTTTTAATTTTGCTTAAAGTTTAACAAATGTAAGTAGCTTGAAGAAAATGAGGTGTCAATACATGCTTGGTTGGAGTTTAGCTTGGTTAGCTATTCTGGAGGTCTAAGTGACAGTTTTCAAAAACAAAAATGTAACCAACCTGAGCTTGCCTACCAGGACAGTATGAAAAAGCAGAGTGGTTCAGTTAAAGGAGAACACTGAGATGACTGGCTTTCTCCTGCTTGCCCTCAGCAGATTTCCCTATCACTTTTACCCCCCTGGGACTTGGAGATCATGCATCAGAAGCAGAAAAAAGGCGCAATTCCCACCATGTCTTCCTGTAGTGCTCACAGGCACCAGCACTGACCTTTCCTCTGAGTCTGCAGGGGTCCTTTTTGTGTGGCTTTCCCCTCAGGTCGCCTCTCTCCCCCTGGGACACTCCAGGGGGTAAAGGGGTTACTCCTTCCCCATGTTATTATTCCTGTGGGGCACACCCCAAAGTATTCAAAATAGCTGTATAATTTTAAAAAATGAACAAATCTTAGGAATTCTGCTTTGTGAAAATTTTTCTGCTAAAATGATCACAAAATTCAAAGATTCGCCAGAAGGGCAAGTAGTGGGGAATGGCTGGGGGTGCTGACAACACAGCAGACAGTAGCAGTGATATTGGAGAGTAAGGGCTCTAGTAGGGGGAGGGAGGCTATGGGAGGGTGCTATCTGGGAAGTGGGTGTAAAAATAAATTTTTAAAAAATTAAAAAAATAATAATTCTTCAAAGCATAAAAGTTTGCTCTTTAATAATTAGTAGATGTGAAAAACATTACCACTGAAATCTACCTGATGACTTTATATCCATGCTCAGATGCCAAGGAGCTCAG